ACTTCTGTTGAACCACATGTGTTTAATGGTTTCTAAATCCAACTCCAACTTTCTCGAAGCCTGTATATATACATTAAGGCATGTAATATTATATGGCAATATTCCAACATTCTCATTTATTTTATTGCTTGTAATTAGATGCTTCAATGATTTTTAATTTGTCTGATTTTTTGTAAAAATAATCTATGAATGAAGACTTAAAAAATGAACCGGTTGGATCATTGAAAAAATATCATAGAATACCCTAAAAGGTGTATTTGAAGAATTCATTAATAAAAATAGTAAATTGAGCTTAGACCCATAAAATTCATTTTTAATCACTTACAACCTTTTCCTTTATTTTTCTATTTAAAATACCCAATTTTTTCAAATAAAACCCGATGACTAGGATCCAAATAAGCAAGTTACCTAATCTAGCTTAAAATCTGATTTTTTCTATTTTTCGTATTCCAAAACTACCCTTATTTACAAGTTAACATGTTATGTGGGGGTGTAACTAATGGCACACGTTGAATTTGGAAAGATCTTCAAATGGTTGTAATGGATAGGGGAATTAATTTAGAAACTTATTTGAAATTAAATATTAAATTCAACATTAACGTATTAGTAATCTACATTTGATTAATTAACGTTTTGGTTTATTTAATAAAAAAAATTATGTTGTTTTCCTTTTATGAATTATACTACTAGTAATCTATTTTATTATAGTTTTATGAATAATAGTGTACATTCTAATTAAGTTGAAAAATATTTTGATAATCTATTTATTGTTTGTTTTATGAAAAACATTTTTTTTTAAATGAACCTATTTTTTCTCTAAATAATCTACCTATTTTTGTCTCTAATAATGTACGTAGTAAAACAATGTACCTATGTTTTTAAACGAACCTATTTTTCCTCTCCAAATATTGTACCTATACACATTTATAGTTATATTGTAAAATAATTTACCTATGGGTAAACAATGTACCTATATTTTCTATAAATTATTGTGTACCTATTTTTAATTTATGAAAAATGTACAGAAATTTCAATTACAAAGTACTTGACTTAGTTTTTTTTTATAAAAAAATTTGGTAAATAATATACCTATATTTTATTTAAATAATATATTTATATATTTATACGTTTATATTTGTATTTATATTTTTCATAGGTACATTATTGGATATGTAATTTACAGAATTTTTTTTTTTGGTTTGCAATTTTAGGGGGCGATATGTGAGAGGGAATGACAACCAAAAGAAATGGGGTGATTTATATGCCATTAATAGTGAGTATTAATTACAATTATGGCAGTTAATGAAATGCTTGAAATAAATTATAAATAAAATATGAAGTCCGGTGGCAACGATGTAAAAACATAGGAATATCAAGATTACTTATATCCTACTGGTCATTTAAATTTGAAATTGAATTTTACACATAGATTTATAGAGTGATGGGTATATGTCTAGAAAATAGAAAATGTAGGGATCTATATTGGAGAAGCCCTTAATAAAAATGATTTGCGGGACCAATGGCATTATTATTGCATTATGATTTTGCATCGCTGCAGTCACATATGAATGGAGGAAGAACTAGTCAAAGCTAATATTATAGCATATATTTCCTTTTTGGGTACATTCAAACTAGGAAAGTGCATGCACTTTCCATAATTGAGGAGCAAGTCAAACCTATATATCCAATCCAAGTTCCAACTCCAATAATTTTTCTTCAATCAAACTGCATGCTTTCCTTAATTGGTAGTGAAACGTTGAAGGTTTATTTCATTCATTTTTTTATTCATACATACATGCTATGTATATTTTTTATCATGCATGAAAAGGATTAAATCCGGCCAGAATCGCATTCTCCAGAGGCCAAAAGAGTGGTTTAGGGAGAGCGTCCCATTCGTACCAATCCCATCCGTCACAGAAGTTTGGCTCCGCATTTTGGGGCACTTGATCATCATCTGCCAAAACTGACCTCATGAAAATCCCCACGTACTGGCATGGCTTGGCCTCGTCTAGGAACACGCTGTTTCTTACCGTCACCAGCTCTATATTCTTAATCTCCAAACCAGTTTCCTCCTTCACTTCTCTTGCTGCACACTCCTCAAAGCTCTCACCTAAACCAACACAACAACACAAAATTAATTCACTAGGAATTTGAGCAAAAAGGAAAAAGAAAAGAGAAGCAAAATCCCATGCCATGGCCATGAAATTTTCTATATATAATTAAGTACCGAATTCGAGGTGGCCACCAGGGAGGGAAAAGGTGGAGTCGCCAAGGGAGGAACGGCGCCGTCCCAACAGCACCGTTTTCCCTTTGATCTGGCACACCACTACCGCCACTCTCGGCACCGGTGCCGCCTCCGTTTCCGTTTGGTTTCCCATGCTTTAATTGGAGTTTTTTGTATTGCACGGGAGATATATGTATGTAGGCATACTGCCCTCAGCCTTATATAGAAAATATTGGGTCTGCTTATACTCGCACTAGTCCTGATCCATAAATGGTGAAACGAGAGAGCGCGCGCGCATCCTTTGACGTTTTTGTTTGGTCAAAAGCACTGTTCTATGTCCCTCTGACTCGCTGTTGCGGTCCATATGTTTGTATTATTCTTAATTAATTAGTTTTATTTTATAATCTTGTTTTTCTGTCTCAACGTGTGTATTGAACAGTTCCCAATGTTGTGACGCACAGCCTTGTTGTAATTGACGTAGGTTGCACATTGATCTAACTAGATAATTATTAATGTCCACAACGAAACTTGTAATAAGTTAATAACGTAATATGTTTTAGTTTTATTCTTATTTTCAAAGTTTCATAATATTATTGTTGAGAACACTCATTTAATATTCTAGCGCCAGGGACGGATCCAGGATTTGAAAATTGGGTGGGCTAAATTTATCTTACGTACAAACCTACTAAATTTCAAAAATTTCGGATCGGTGGTCCAAAAACTAGGAAATACTGACAAATTATTGATATAGGTACAAATTTGTTAAAAAAAACATGGAAATTGTGAGAAAAATATGGAAATTGTTAGTGGAACTTTAGAAAATGTTATATATTATTTTAACACAAAAGAATTGAAAGAAATTTGTTGCATAGTGAGTTTGAGTGATTTAAGTGAGTATATTGCGAGTTGACAAAGACTGTAATTTATATAATGCTAATGTATATTAATTAATGACAGAGTATTAAAATGATATATAGAAGCAATAGATACGAAAGTGTGTTAAATATTTAAACAAAAGTTGTAGTAGTCTGTTGATTGAGTCTAGTGGGGATTGTTAGGATCGACACATGTTGGTTAGTCCAAGGGCAGGTCCGTCCTTGTTTAGCGCTCTGGTTGGGGATGAAAATATTGTTAACCGCGTTCAGGCGCGGGCAGAGCCACCACAATTAGACAAAAAGGCGGCCTTGTTTTTTTAAGACTTTGACCAATTCAATTTATTGCCTTCTGGATTTAGCCAAGTTTCCTTCTACATTTTGTTTTTAAATAAATATTTCTTAGTCTAATGATGATTTTCTACCAAAATCAAAATGAAAAAACACAACTAGCATGGTAGTTTTGTTCTCAAAATGATTGTGGTTTTAATGTTTTAGCTTTTGCTTTTAATTTCAATACAATTTTAAGCCTCTGATCTTTTTTTCTTTTGAATGAGACTGGATGAAAAATCTGGAAATTTTGTGGTTGAGATTGTGAAAAGTAGGAATCTAAATGCGAAGCGATGTAACAGATATTGGAAATCCAGACAAAGTCTTGCAGCATGTACTTTTTCCAACTTAACTTGTATGTATGAGTTCCAACTTAACTTATATGGTATTCCCCAACAAGGGACCCATTCCAATAACATATACTTTTTCCATTCCCCCCCACCTTCTCTTCTTCCCCAATACCCTTCAAATCCTAGCTATGTAAACCACACATCTCCTTCAATCCAAGTCCATCCGGGGTTATTTATTCAAATAGTCCTCAAATTTATATATGCATTTTGGTCCCTCAACAAAATTATTCATTCAAATGGTCCACCAACTCTTTATTATTCGGCGAATTGGTTCTACTGTTACACTCCGTCAATATTGCCGTTAATTTGAGGATTAAAATCGTCAATTTATATTAAAATATTAATTAATTAAAACGGGGGTAGAGGGAGAACATAGAGGGGGTTGGCAGTGGGTGTGGGTTGGGGCTGGTGGTGGGGGTGCCTCTACCTTCTTCTCTTCTCTCATCATGGAGAAAACAGAAATTTCTTTCTCTTAATGAAGAACATATAAAAAACAAGTGATAAATAAAAACAAGAAATATCCCCTTCATCTCATCCCGCATCTATCCCACATAGCAACAAAAGATAAACAACTTTTTTTTTTCTTTCCATTTTTGCAACTCCAACGAGAGGAATCCAATACCATAAATTGATCAAGGCACCCATGTGCCTTTTCCCCTCAATCCTCGGCTCCACCATTGTAACCTGTCGCAGAGAGCTCAACTCATGCTGCCACTTTGGCCATCGAAGTCGGAGAAGTCATGTCTGAATGAAGCAGGCACCGCTGTCATCTCTTCCGCGTCGACTAGTTGTCCTCTAGCACTGCTATCATTTGGTTGTGCAGGGAGGGAAGAAGAAGAAGAAGAAGAGGAAGGGAAATGAAAACTCCACTATGAAAAAGTTGTATTTACCCTTCCTATTCTTCTCACGTGTAGTTCACATGACTAAAACTCACAAAAAAATGTAATAGTGGACCAATTCCCCGAATAATAAAGAGTTGGTAGACCATTTGAATGAATAATTTAGTTGAAGAAACAAAATGCAACTCAAGTATAAGTTTAAGGATCAATTGAGTAAATAACCATTTTAGTTACTTAATTAAAGTGGACATAATTATTTATTAGCAACTATCGAAGAAAGGATTTGAACAAAAACTATCCAAGAAAGGAACGAATATCAATTATAACACAGACTTTTTATTAATTAATAGCACAGCATTCTCACTAAAGAGAAGTGTAGCTCGATTCATGGTGATGCATGAAAAGGATTAAATCCGGCCTCCACTGCATTCTGCAAAGGCCAAAACAGTGGTTGTGGGAGGCAGTCCCACTCATACCAATCCCAACCGTCACACATGTTGGGCTCCACATTTTGGGGCTCCCGATGATCGTCATCTGTCAGCATCGCTCTCATGAAAATCCCCACGTAGTGGTATGCCTTCACTTCCTCTACGAACAAGTTGTTTGTGACCCTCAGCAACTCTATCTTCTCCTTCTCCATGTCCAATCCAGTTTCTTCCTTCACTTCTCTCGCTGCACACTCCTCAAAACTCTCACCTGATCTCGCAACAAACACAAAATTAATCCCGTTAATTAATTAATTAGTAAAACAAAAATCCATGTATTTGTATATAATTACCAAACTCGAGGTGGCCACCAGGGAGGGAAAAGGTAGAGTCGCCAAGAGAGGAACGACGCCGTCCTAACAGCACCGTCTTCCCTTTCAACAGGCACACCACTACAGCAACTCTCGGCACCGCATTCTCCTCCCTTGTGTTTTCCATGTTTTTTCAACCTAAATTTGTGTTTCGTCTTTTGTGGTTTATAATCTGCATGGGCTCACATATATAATGGAGACAAGATACGACTTCACCATTTGTTAGTTCAAACTTTGGAAGTTGGACCGTTTTTTTTCTTGGTCTCAAAACGCTGTTCACGGATGTCGTTTCGTCTCGTTTTGGTTCTGTTTCTAGCTAGCTGCTAGCTGCTAGTTGTTGTATTTTTAATTTTATTAATTCTTGGTGGCTTTATGTTGCAGACGGATCTTTTACTTAATTGTGTTGCTGGTTTTGCTATCACTGGGATGAAAGGGTTGTGGTAGTTGTCGAAAAGATCCGTTATAGATGTGTTGCTGGTTTTGCTATCTCTCTTCTTCAAAAGCTCCGTTATAGATGGGTTGCTGGTTTTGCTATCTCTCTTCTTCAAAAGCGCACAAACCCATTCTGTAACAGACGGTGGAGGTAGTTAAGAAATGCTATCTTGAATCACAATTTATTTCCCCAAGTTATTTTGACTCAATTTTTCTCTTACCCTGTCTCCCTTTACCCTCTATCATCAAGTTCGTCAGTAATGGAGTACGATCGCCCCAATTTTCCTTGTATATCAGGAGGATGTCACATGGGAAAAAGTATAATTGAAAATATAGCACTAGATCAAGGCAACATCATGCAACGTGATGTTTAAAAAAAAAAAAACGAGGGAACACATCGGACCACAAGAAGGAAAATGGGCAGATAGAACTTTAGTGATCTGACCCTAAAGAAAGATGAATTGATTTATGAGCCCAAGTTGGGTTTCCCCGTGAAGATATGAGCTCAAGTTCAATTATTTTCTGGGTCGGTTTCGACCCCAAGTTTTAGACAGCCATTGAATTTCCTGGAAACAAAATATCTTCTGCATCCTCAACATAAAAGGTTCAAAAACATTTGCTACTTAAAAGAACCAATATGCAGAGCACAATCGAAAATGGATAACATAAGGGTATTGACTTGCAAATAAGTGGTCTCAGATTCGAAACCGAACTCCATGACACTTAAAAAGGGTGTTTTCAGATAAAGCCCTGACCTAACTTACACATACATTACACATACGTGCATATATAGAAAAAGCAGAGCCCTGTACTATTATTCTTCTCCTTGTGGTCAATTGGGCAAAGGGTTAAAGCCACTCTTCACCATCTTCTCCAAAGGCCAAAAGAGGGGTTCGGGGAGGTTGGCCCAATCGTACCAATCCCAACCGTCACACTTGGTGGGCTCAAGATTTTGGGGCAAGTGATCATCGCCATCTGCCAAAACTCCACGCATGAAAACCGTCACATAATGAGACGGCTTCGGCTCCTCTGAGAACACATTGTTTGTGACCGTCAGCAACTCCATCTTCTTCTTGTCAATGTCCATACCAGTTTCTTCCTTCAATTCTCTCGCCGCACACTCCTCAAAGCTCTCTCCTACCCAAAACCGAAAAACCACCGAATCTCAAATTGAACTCATCTATACATACCCATGATACGAAATTAAATAATTAATTAACTAACTAATTACGATTAGGAAAAAAAAGAAAACCAATAATTACCGAATTCAAGGTGGCCACCAGGGAGGGCAAAGGTGGAATCGCCCACAGAGGATCGCCGCCGTCCCAACAGCACTGCTTTTCCTCTCAACAGAAACACCACCACAGCCACTCTCGGCACCAAGGCGATCGTCTTACCGTTTTCCATTTTCTTTCTGTTCTTTCTCGCGCGCACTTCCCTTGACCCGACTGGCGGCCTCACCTTAAATATTTTGAGGGCGCATGCTGATTTACTGTGTAGTGTTGGACCTTCTGGTCAAAACGCGGTTCTGTTGATGTCGTTTCGACTGGATTCTACTTTTAGGGTTTTCCCGCCACGGCGAGTGGGTTAAGGGAAATTATTTTGAGAGGGGATTAAGGGAAGTTTTTAATCGGCTGTTTCCTGTATGTTCGATAATTTCGCTTTCTGTAACCAAAGAGAGCACACCACGTCAAGAGACAGGGGACCCTCGGATTCTTTTATGCGCTCCTCTCAGTGACAGGGACCCACAAACATAAAACCCACGTCACTCTGAGGAGAGGTACCATAGGATCTGCTCCACAGAATACCTGCTCCTTCGATTAAGTGGATGGTAATGCTTTGACACTTGCCAGGTCTTTATTAATATTCATTTTTTAAATTAATATATTAAAATGAATTAGGTACTTACGCAATGCTTTCCACTTCAATTAAATTAGTAGAGGAAATCAATCTTCCTACTTTTTTCAATATTGAAAGAAATACCACTAACTATGGAGTCACCACTTTGACCAGTACTTTACTCTTTATGGGCCGACCCGGTGTGAGCAGGGATTAGTCTGGATTGTGGTTAAGGCCTAAAAGTGCCACCTCGTGGTTCAGACAAAAAAAAAAAAAAACCACTAACTAAACTAATAGCTAATTTGTATTTTAATACATGTTTTCAAATTCATTAGATTAGGCACTAAATATGTTTAATATTTTATTACATAATTGTGATTACTGAGAAGAAAATGGATGCCTTTTGAGACATTTAAAAGTACGTATACATCAAGACAACATAATTTTAATGCCATTGTTCTTTGAGTTGAAGCATTTTATCATAGATTGATGGGACTCGTCTACTAAGGTCAATTGTTCATCCTAATATATAACTTATTTTTTTTTGAAGGTTTTAATTCAAGTTAAGAAGATTTCAAATTCGATATTAATACTATTTGAATGAGATACTCCTTTCTTCCTAAAAAAGTTCTACACACATATCACATTATTATTAACAGAAATGTAGAAGTTTATACTTACAAAGTAATCAGAGAAGTAATGCTCATGATATTCGGTCACTTCCATTTTTAAGGTATTTTTGGGTTTTGGGGTTAATGGGCTTGTTAAACTTGTAGAAGACCCATTAGTAGGGCCATTGTTGATTAGTCTGCTTTATTTGTTGGGCCTCTAACCCCAATTTTCAACCCAAACTTGAGAAAAAGGGTGCGAAATGTGCTTAATTATCCTTGATCAAAAGACTAATAGATGCAGACAGATTTCGCCTCGTCATAGAGTGATGCAAAAGTAAAATATGTATAAAGTTGGTCACACTTTTGTTCATTTGGTAGTTGAAAAGAGTAAAATTGAGCAAGCTCCCTTTAACCAAGATTTCACGAGGACAATCCTTTCACCTATTTCTTTTTTTTCAACCAAATTTTGTCACACATAACCTTTCCACATTTGAATCAACCATTTTCCTTTTTAGACTTTTCCTTTATCTTTTTGACCTATACCACAGATCATGGATGCACAAGTGGAGCAACATGTATTAAATTAATTTTGGGAATAAAATATAAAAATGAAGCGTGGACGAGATTGTGCTAGGAATATACCGGAATAATATTACAATTGAAGAATATGAAGTCCTACAACATTATGGTAATAAACAAAAATGAGTGGTTTCACTATTAATAATATCAAGGTATTTTGTATAAAATATCACACTTATCGAATATGCAATGATTAAGTTGAAGATAATATTGATATTGCTAGTAATAAATCGTAGGTCCATTCGTATGAAATCTTCACATAATATCAAAGTGAGTTGATTTACTATGCCCTACTAACCGCCACATAAATGATTTTCCTTTTTCTAAGTTCAAATAATGTGTATAGGAAACTCCATTATTTTTTATTAATAATTTATTAACTATATTTTTATTTTCGAAATTAATTTCACCTGGTCATAGAGGAGAGAGTGACAGAGCTTCTTTCAGGCCTATAAGACTGCCCTTAAACTCAGGGGAGAGTGCCACTTGGGAGTAAATCCTTGGCATTCATACGGTAAAAGTGGGACCCACTTTTACCCTCCTGAATATCCGTACGTTGAGACTCTCTCGCTCCTTCCCTCTCTCTTCTTGCCACCACTACCACCACCACCATCACAAGCTTCATCTTCTCCTCTGCTTCTTTTGCTTTCACTTTCTCTCTCTAAAACACAGACACTCACACAAGGACACTTTCACTCTCTAAAACTCCCTCCCTCTCTGTTTCTCTCTCTGTATCTGTGCTTCTGTTGCAACAATGACGGACACAACGGATGACATAGCAGAGGAAATCTCGTTCCAGAGCTTCCAGGACGATTGTAGAATGCTGGGCAGCCTTCTTCAAGAAGTGTTGCAGCGAGAGGTCCGCAGCGAAATCATGGAGAAAGTTGAAAGGACCCGAATCCTCGCTCAGGTTTCACTCTCCCTTCCATCCCTCATTCCCTGCTTTATTTGCTCGCTTGCTTTCCTGAGGAGAAGAAAAAGAAAAAGTAGCTATGATTAGAGTGCGTTGATAATTTCCTAGATTTTCTCAGCGGCCAAACAGAGGGTCGAAGATGAATTTTAAATTAAGACATTTGATAGTGAATGGGGATTTTTTCGTTTTGAATGTGTGCGTGTGTGTCTTCAGAGTGCTTGTAATATGAGGATAGCGGGGATAGTGGACATTGCGGACGTCCTGGAGAAGCAGCTGGCGTCAGAAATGTCGAAGATGGGCTTAGAAGAGGCTTTGGTCCTCGCTCGCACTTTCAGCCATTATCTCAATTTGATGGGCATTGCCGAAACCCATCACAGGTAATCTCATCATCAGCTTTTTCTGAAATTTATTAGCTTTCTGGTTAAAATTATGGATGGAAATTTGTTGCTTTGTGCAGGGTTCGCAAGCAACGAAATGACTCAAATGAGGCATCTCTTGCAAAATCTTGTGATGATATTTTTAATCAGCTCGTGCATGGTGGTTTTTCCCCAGATGATCTTTATAATAACGTTTGCAACCAGGTTTCTTCTCGGTTCTTTTGCTTCTAGCCTTTTATTTTTGTCTTCGTTTGTTTGTATGCATGGGTTGAGAAATAGGGAGGCCTAATCCTGTATTAATCTTCATTGAGTGACCTCTCTTGTTATCCGTCTTTCTATTCTCAATCTCCTAATTTTCTTGCTGCAGAAGGTTGAAATTGTTCTTACTGCACATC